TGCCGGCCGGGCTGGGCAACTCTTTCCTAAGAAACGGCTGATCTTCCGTGGGGTTCTGGGAAAAGAGAGGGCCTTTGACCTGAGGTTGAGGTGCTTGGTATGAATTATTTATTTCTCAGAGCCTTTGCTTCCTTCTCTTAAACGTGGGATTAATCATATGTACTTCAGGACATATGTGTACCTGTGAAGGATAAAGAGCAGAAATGATGCAGAACAACTGTCCGAGGCCTGGCACCCCTCAAAGGCTCTGCCCTTAATCATCTGAACACAGTTGCTGCCAGTTCACTGCGGATGGGCCCAGGCGGGGCGCAGTGTGGGTGGAGCCTGGGGGGCCTGTGAGGACTCCTGAAGGCAGAGGAACCCGCCTGTGCATTAGGTGTTGCCAGTTGACATCTCCAGCCCATGCCCACGCTCCCAGTCAGCTTGTTAGAGCCGGCGATTCTCTGGTCCTACTGTGCGGTGTGCTGGCTCAGCATGCCTGCCACCTGCTGGTCTTCCTCCCGCGGCGATTTTTATACATATCCGAGCGAAACACCGCTGGCCTAATGCTCAGATCCACTCACTGATGCTAAAAGAAAAAGAAAAAGAAAAGGAAGAAATGTAGTATCTGCTCTGTATAAACTTTCTACTTGACTAGACAGTGTTGGTGCAAACATGGTAAATTGCTGATTCTTCCGCGATCTCTCCCTCAGAATGGTAATTATGAAAAATAATCTTAAGTGAACCATCCTAAGGATTGGAACCTTCAGCCGAGGGCTGTGCTGTATTTGGTTTGATTTTTATTGGCTGCCGTTTTTTAGGTCAAACAAGTCTTTTCAGTTTCTTTCTATCTTTAGTTTATTGCTTCTATCATGAGGGGGCTCATTAGCACAAAGAAAAACCCTAAACAGACATAATACCTATTTTTTTCCAGGATTTTTATTTTAATTAAATCACCCGGGAGGAATTTTTGGGATATAAATATAGATCTTATAAGCAGAGTGGACTGCATTATGCTTTCCGTGACAGAGGAGGGGTGTGCAAACCACTCAAATAAAAACGTATCCAGCCCGGCCAGGGAAGCTCAGTGGTTAAGCGTCAACCTATGAACCAGGAGGTCACAGTTCAATTCCTAGTCAGGGCACATGCCCAGGTTGGGGGCTCGATCCCCAGTGGGGTGTGCAGCAGGCAGCCGATCCATGAGTCTCTCTTATCATTGATGTTTCTATCTCTCTCCCTTCCTCTCGGACATCAATAAAAATATATATATTAAAAAAAACTTATCCAGAAATGAGGAAGACAGGAAGCTACAAATAGTTGGCTCAGCTGAAAGGGTTCCTGAAGGGAGGGGTTTCAGCATCACCGCTCATCTTGCTTCTCTTTCCTCCCCAGCGTTGGCGTTTCTAGATCAAAAGACGTGCCCCCGTTCGGCCCCCCCATCCCCAAAGGCGTCACGTTCCCAAAGTCCGCCGTGTTCCGGGACTTCCTTTTAGCCAAAGTCATCAACGCGGAGAACGCGGCCCACAAATCGGAGAAGTTCCGCGCCATGGCCACCCGGACGCGGCAGGAGTACCTGAAGGACCTGGCGGAGAACTTCGTCACCACGGCCACCGTGGACACCTCAGCCAAGTTCAGCTTCATCACGCTGGGGGCCAAGAAGAAGGAGAAGGTCAAGCCGCGGAAGGACGCCCACCTGTTCAGCGTGGGGGCCATCATGTGGCACGTGGTGGCCCGGGACTTCGGCCAGGCCGCCGACATCGAGTGTCTGCTGGGCATCTCCAACGAGTTCATCATGCTGATCGAGAAGGAGTCCAAGAATGTGGTCTTCAACTGCTCCTGCCGGGACGTCATCGGCTGGACCTCGGGGCTCACGAGCATCAAAGTGTTTTACGAGAGAGGAGAGTGTATCCTCCTCTCCTCGGTGGACGGCTGCCCGGAGGACATTCGGGAAATGGTCCAGCGCCTGGGGGTAAGTGCCCCCGGCTTTTGCATTCCCTACGTCCGGAGGCCTTCAGTACCGGTTCCTATTGGCTTCCACTGTGCACAGTCCACTGTGGTTATGGCACCTAGAGAATGAATGGCGCCTAGGGAATGAATGGCACCCAGGGAATGAATGGCTATGTCATGTGATGATGGAGTCCATGTCAGGATGAGAGGAACTGCAGATCAATGGGGAACAGGATCCTTCCGCCTTTGCGAATGTTGAAAAGCAAGAAATAGCGGATGAACAAAGGTTGGAGGTGACAGGTGGGGCGTGGCAGATGGCAGGGGCAGGAGGAGACAGCAGCAGGCAGAGTGGGGACCCCGGAGAAGCTTGCCCTTCACCTCCGTCCTCAGGAGGAGGTAGGATTTGAACTAGAAGTTGCGTTCCTATTGGTAAGAAGGCAGGACCTGCTGTTCTCAGGAAGGCCTTTGGGGGTGGCTGTAGTGCACGGAGTGGGGTGCAACCCCTTCTTTCGTTTCCTTTCTGGGATGCTGCTGCATACTCGCAGGGTGTCAGAGCCCGCAGGCTGCGGCCTGGGGTTGCCCAAGGCCCCCAAGAGATGGCCCGCTGGAGGAGTGCCACCTCACACCGCCCTGGTGGCAGGTGCCGGGAGCCTGGCTGGCCGGGCACATAAGAGCTGAGGCCTCAGCGCCCAGGCGAGCGAGGGCATCTTTCCACAGGGGAGCGTCCTCGGGCAGGAACAGGTGTCCCCAGGTTGGTGCAGGGCCAGTACCCCCCGCTTCCCTGGCATCTGCTGCTGCTGCTGCCCATCGGGGGGCAAGTCGCTCAGCGTTAGCTCGGAAGTGCTCTGGGCCATTTTGAAGTTGAATGAAGTTGTCTGACAGGCTTTCGTGTTTGTCGGGTGAAAATTGTCATCGGTTCAGCCAGTCAGTATTGCTCAGTGGTTGAGTGTTGACACATGAACCAGGAGGTCACTGGTTCAATTTCTAGTCAGGGCATATATGCCAGTGTGGGGCGTGCAGGAGGCAGCCGATCGATGATCGATGATTCTCTCTCCTCGATGTTTCTATCTCTCCCTCTCCCTTCCTCTCTGATTCAATAAAAATATATTTTAAAAAGAGTCCTTTTTGCACCAGGACAGTCCGTCTGGAGCAGTGCAATTCCTGTGCTTAACAGCCAAGAAAGGAGGGGGGATCATCAGAGACCGTCTTAAGGTCACAAGCCCTAAGGTGAGGGCTTCTGAGAAAAGGCAGGACACCTGTGACAAGGTGGATTTGCCTCTGAAGAATGAAACCATTGCCCTAGCTGGTGTGGCCCAGTGGATAGAGTGTCAGCCTGCGGACCAAAGGGCCCCGGGTTCGATTCCGGTCAAGGGCACGTACCTTGGTTGCAGGCTCCTTGGGCCCTGGCTCCGGTTGGAGGCAACCAGTCGATGTGTTTCTCTCACCTCGATGTCTCTCTGTCTTTCCCCATCTCTCCCACTCTCCCTAAAAATCAATGGAAAAATATCCTTGGGTGAGGATTAACCAAAACAAAAAAGAAGAATGAAACCATTGTGTAACTCGTGTTACATTGTTTTGCGTCTGATGCCCATATGGTTAATGATGCTGAACTTGGATTGAGTTGTGTCCCTGTCACGTGGACAGTTCGAGGGCAAGACTGCGGGGCTGAGGAGCGGGCATGAGGCCCGTGTGTGCACCTCTGACATGGGGACCCCACCGCCGCGTCTCTGACCGTCTCCTGTCCCCTCAGATAGTGACCAGAGGCTGCGAGACTGTGGAAATGACCCTGAGGAGGAACGGGCTGGGCCAGCTCGGCTTCCACGTGAACTTCGAAGGCATCGTCGCGGACGTGGAGCCTTTCGGCTTTGCCTGGAAGGCGGGCCTGCGCCAGGGCAGCCGCCTGGTGGAGATCTGCAAGGTGGCCGTGGCCACGCTGACCCACGAGCAGATGATCGACCTGCTGCGCACGTCCATGACCGTGAAGGTGGTCATCATCCAGCCGCACGGCGATGGCTCGCCCCGGAGGTAAGCCCGGTGGGGCCGCTGCCCCTGCGGGTCCTGGGAAAACGCGGGCTCAGGGCTCCCCCACCACGTCGCCTGGCTGTCAGCCATCAGAGCGATTTAAAAAGGGCTCTGACAGCTCTCAGTGTAAAGTACACGATAAAGCGTCATTTTCTAAGCAATTTAACGGGACAGTGACCACGTAAAAGCTGAGCTATCACGCCGCACGCGGAGCTGCAGAGCGGCCCTGGCTCCCCTGGACGTGAGGCTGTGTCACTGCTCAGCCTTCGTGAATGCAGTGTTCGTGCGCTTCCCTTTCCAAACACGAAGGCATGACTGTGTGTTCTCGTTTGTTTTAATATATTTTCATTGATTTTAAAGAGGAAAGGAAAGGGAGAGAGAGATAGAAACATCCATGATGAGAGAGAATCATGGATCGGCTGACTCCCGCACAACCCACACTGGGGATCGAGCCCACAATCCGGGCATGCGCCCTGACCGGGAATCGAACCCTGACCTCCTGGTTCATAGGTGGACACTCAACCACTGAGCCACACCGGCCGGGCAAGGGATGCTATTTAAGGACAAGCTGCCTCTGGCTCTGGTAGGCTTTCTGCCGGGTCTGGTGGTGCCCAGGTCACATTCCCACTCCATCCCAGAAGTCCTTGCTCTGTTGGTGAGAGAGAAAGTGGGCTCAGGGATCTGGGCCTGCGCTGTGTGACCCTGGGTGTGAGGAACAGCCTCTCTGAGCCTCGTTCAGTGCCTGGAAGATGGGGTCATCACATCGCCAGCTCCTGCTGTGCTATGAAGGGCGAATGAGAAGAGGGTTCAGGAGCACCTCCGGGCCTCACCAGCACCCGAGTCTTGTTAAGATCACTAAGATTCTTTCTCACTTGGATTTCTCCTGCTCTAAAGAAATGGCTTATCACTCAGCGATCACGAGATGCCACTGCCACTGGCTAAACTTCTATCTGTGGTGCCAGGACTTTGCTTACGGTTTCTCCAGCCCCTGCCGTCCACCTGAGAAGCTAGCACTGTCCCCAGCACTTTCCACGATGCCACGTCCCTTGTCTGTATCGCCCACAGCAGTAGCCACGAGCCTCACGTGACTGTTGCACATTTGAAATGTGGCCAGTGTGACTGAGGAGATGACTTTTTCATTGTAATTACTTAAGATGTAATGACCCATGTGGGGAGGAACAGATTTCCCCCTACCCTCAAGGTTCTTCTGGCTGGTCTAATACTCAGACACGGGACAGATGAGCAAGAGAAAATGACTAGATTTAGTACACGTATGTGTGGGAACCCCGTGTGCATGAGCGAGTCAGAGAGAGAAGGGGCTTTGAGGTGTGGGAGACATTCTGAACTGGGGACCAGGTAGTGGCCCTGAGAGTGCAAAGGCCATTGCAGGGTGATACGGACAGGCGTTCAGCCCTGGCCAGTTTGGCTCAGTGGATAGAGCATCAGTCTGCAGACCGAAGGGTCCCAGGTTCGATTCCGATCAAGGGCACATTCCCGGGAAGCCAAGATAGTGTATAAGTGAAAGTCTTTTAAAATAAAGTTTAAGCCAGTTATTAGGACATTTTTCCAGGCAGTATAAGATTTCTTTCTTCCTTTGGTAGAGTTCAAGATCTGTAAATTTTATGGGGAAAATCAAGTCCTTTTATCTGTCCCAGAGGTCGAGTACTACCGTAGCATTAGACAAAATGTTACCCGGCTCTCCCTTCAGGTTAATAACATGTTTCTCCTGTGTTTCACCTTGGCCTGCAGTAAGACCTCTTAAAGCATTCAAGAGATCCGGTTAATAAATACGTTAAAGTTATCATTATGTTTGCTATTTAAAACCTACGATTTAAAAAAGTAGAATCTCCTAAGAAGTCCTGAATATCGTTAACTAAAACAAATAAACAAAAACTACCATTTACAAGTTTAGGCTGTTTTTGTTGTTGTTATTGTTGTGTAAGCCAAGGACTTGTTTAACTGCCTTGGTCTGTGCATAATTAATCCTTTCTTTGTGTCAAATGCAAAGTCTCTGATTAAAGCTATTGAGGATATTGAGAGCTTTTCCTTTGTTTCCTGGTAATGTTTCTCCCTGAAGAGACAGATTTTCCTCTGGACGAATCTGGAATAAGTGTTTTCTGTATTTTAACTGTAGCCAGGACGAGAATTAGCCGTTCGCCGAGTAGTAGCCCTCCCAAAGTTGGCCCGCCTCTCCATCCACATTTCAGCATCTTGAAGGTTTTAAGGCCAGCGTGGACCATTTAAAATTCTTTCGATGCAGTCTTCTTGAATTTGACTTTGTACATTTTTAAATCCACGTGTTTGTTGGTTTGGGACTCTCGCTCTGCCTGCGGCTGCCGGGGAGCCCAATAAAGCACTGTTGTCAGGCAGCTTCCAGAACAGAAACCATCCTGGCGAGCCGTGTGCAAGGTCATTTCAATGTCACCCGGGCCGGAGTTCAGCCTCTGCGTGGTTAGATTTTTTTTTTTTTTTTTAAGAAACTGTGAGGAGGGCCTTAGAGGGGACATGGGCAGCATGTGACTCATTTGAAAAATCAAAATACAGATCTTTTAAAGGAAACATAGGTAAGCACCATCCATCCTACAGCAACATGTACAGACATAGGCTTCAAGCTAAAGCTACACCTTTGACTTGTGGCATGAAAACTAGCCTGTCTTTCTGTACAGATTGGCTCTTGGTGCTTGTCGGGGAGGGGCACGAGGAAAACATGCACTTACGTGTGTGTGTGTGTGTGTGTGTGTGTGTGTGTGTGTGTGTATGTGTGAACATATAAGCAACTGTGTGTTTGGGTTGCAGCTTTCCCATCCAGTATAATAAGAGTAAACATTTTTGGGAAATCATTAAAAGTTGTCTTTAATTTAATGTAAGAGCCACAAGGATGACCAAAATGGCCCCATGAATGGATTGCAAGAGATTTCATTCACCATAAACACGGTGACGAGGAAGTGAGAACACGTCAGTTCGTTTCTGCCCTTCGTCAGCTTGATGGTTGTCCAGAGGGCACCAGTGAGAGATGACTCGCCTGGGAGCCCATCTGTTCCTGCCGGCAGTGGGCGAGGCCTGTCACTCACAGCCCCCCCCCCTTCCCACCCCACCCCCAATCCCGCTGTCTGAGCTCAGGTGTTTGTTATGACTCAGGAGCTGCTGATGTAATGAAGTCTCTGGCTGGGAAAGTATTCACCGCGGAGTCAAAAGCTACCCTGCATTTTGCAGGCTCCTTCTTAGGTCTCGGGGTGATGATATTTCAGCCCCCCCTCCGCCCCCCCGCTCAGCTTGAGCTCCAGGGAACCCCGGGCAGGGAAGGTCTCCTTCGGGGAAGCTTATTAAGTGACTTCCTGCTGGGACTGGATCTGAGTGGATTCACACGGATTGGGAATGAGTGGCAGGAAGCGGTTTGGGAATAGCGCTCTTCACATGGAAGCGAGGTTAGAGGGAGGAGGCCCCCCAGCAGGCAGTGTCTGGGCCAAGGTGAAGAGTTGCCGAAGCCGCTTCATTAACCTTGGCTTGGGGACGGCTGGTGGGGCCCCGCCCCCGGCCTGCCCAGGGGACTGACATTCTGCCCGTGTCATCTTCAGGAAAGCAAATCCACTCAAAAAGGAGGATAGAAAGGAAGTAACAGCTCATCAGAATCACGCATGAGTTGTTATGCAAGGCGAGTGATTTAGTCACTATGTCCAATAAAAATGGAAATGGAGTGCCTTGCTGGGGTGCATCTGTTTTGTGTGATTTCTCCTCCTCTGTTGACATGACATATTTTCCTATATAATGCAAAACAGTGGAAATTATCTCATGTTGTCCTGCATCCAAATTGTGGTTCTCCCATCATTCTGTAAGAGTGGAGCTTTCTGTACTTGTCGGCTCTTTTGCTGCCTGTGGCCTGGCCATTCAACTCCCTCAAGTGCACAGGGGAGGGTGGGAATCGAAGCAGGAAGGGGAGCTCACTTCTGTTAGATGAGCAGTGAGTGTGTGTGTGTGTGCATGTGTGTGTGTGTGCACATGTGCGTGCGCACGCAGATGGTGAGTAGAAATCTGGACTAGAGTGATGGGTTTTTTTATTATTACTACTTTTTAAAATATATTTTTATTAAATTCAGAGAGGAAGGGAGAGAAACATCAATGATGAGAGAGAATCATGGATCAGCTGCCTCCTGCACGCCCCACACTGGGGATCCAGTCCACAACCCGGGCATGTGCCCTGACCGGGAATCGAACCACGACCTCCTGGTTCATAGGTTGACGCTCAACCACTGGGCCACGCCGGCCAGGCTCGACTAAAGTGAGGTTTTAGATTAGAGGTCCAATTTATTCGTATGGGGAAGAAAAATTAGTTACATTTGGTGTTTTATGGCCCCTGAAAAAAAAAAAAACCCCAAAAAACAGAACTTAGGTTCTCAAAGTAACTGAACTACACTCACTATTCTGAGTCCCTACAAAGGAATGTATAGAATGTCCTCTCACTGCTTGAGGTAAGCGCATTGGGTTACGTAAGGAATGTTAGGTAGCTTGCCTCACATTTACTCACTCATTCACTTGTTCACGCTCTTAAAGAGTTTGTGCCAGAAACTGCTGGGTCTGACCTTATCACACTAGATAGGACAGACCTAATCTTGACTCTTACGGGCTCCTGTTCGTCTCCCTAGCGTTCTCCAGTACAGGACTTCCCGTTCATATTTTCGCTGCTTAAAACTTCTTCTCCAACCGTAGCAACAACCAACTACCCCATGGCGTGTCTCCCCTTGGGCAGAAAGCACGCTCCATATCTCCATGTCCACGCTGTTCTGCAGTGGAGGATGTTGTCCTGTCACTGACCCTGGAACAAGGACACAGGGGGTGACAGCAAAGCTCGGCCTCTCTGTTAGTTGGGCAAGTAGAACTGTCTCCAGCTTGACAGGTTCCCCACGCCGTGAGGACGGACAGGCAGCGGTGCCCTCCTGGTGGGGATGTCTTCATCATAGCTCAGGCATCAAACGGCTGTGGAGAAGCTCCTGTGTTAACTCTGAAGGATCGCACACAATGAAATGTTATTCCCGCTCTCGGGCTTTCTCGGAGAAAGGGGCATGGCTGGCTTCATGGAGAACTTGCTGAGCCTTTGAGTCAAATGCTGTGCTGGGTCCCGCCCAGTGGGTAGACCAGTCAGCCCGTGTGCTTGGCGAGGAAGGAAGGGCTGGAGGCTGAGGAACTGTTCGGGTCCAGGCAGCCAATTGCTGCTTTCATCTGACACCTTCGGTTCAAGTCCTTATTCAAAGGGTTCATGGTCTGCTGTCTCTCTTTTTTCTTATCCTCACGAGAGGAGATGGATTGATTCTTAGAGAGAGAGTGAGAGAGTGAAACATCGATGTAAGAAACATCGATCGGTTGCCTCCTGCACGCGCCCCGTCCAGGGATCGAACCCACAACCTTCTGTTTGATGGGACTACACTCCCACCGACTGAGCCACCGCCCAGGGCTGATGTCTCTTTTTCTATCTATAGCAGTGGTTCTCAACCTTCCTAATGCCGCGACCCTTTAATACAGTTCCTCATGTTGCGGTGACCCCCAATTTCATGGTTACAAATTGAACATCATTCAAGCATAGTGATGAATCACAAAAACAATATGTAATTATAGATGTGTTTTCCGATGGTCTTGGGCGACCCCTGTGAAAGGGTCGTTCGACCCCCAAAGGGCCCACAGGTTGAGAACCGCTGCTCTATAGTCTCCCTGTCTTTCTATGTCTGTGAATCAAGGGCATTTGTAGGGAAGTGAGTTCATCTTTCATGTAGTGCCTCCTTCCAGCACGACACCGCCCCAGCCTTCCCGGGAAGCCGCCCTGTGTGGTGTCTCCCCCTTTGCAGGCTTTTGATTTTTTTATGCATCAGGAAGAAAGAGTTGGAGAGTCTAGTGACGGAGCTTCAATTCCCCCTGTCACCTTGTTGGATGACTTGGGAAGAGTCATTTAGCTATTAGTAGGCTATTAGCATAACAGATGTAAAGAACATTAAAATATCAGCCATTGCCTTAACCCCCAGGGGTAGGAAGGATTCTTTTGCAAAGTGAATAATAGAGAAGAAGCAAGCAGTTCTTTCCAGGGATCTGTCCGCCTTTGTTTCCATGATTTTTTTTTTTTTTTAGCTCCTGTTGAAAAACACAGCACACGTGGGCAGCATTACCTGTTCTTTGGTGGTTTTCTCTCTTTTTTAAAACTATATTTTTATTGATTTCAGAGAGGAAGGGAGAGGGAGATATAGAAATATCAATGATGAGAGAGAAGCACGGATCGGCTGCCTCCTGGACGCCCCCTACCGGGGATCGAGCCCACAACCTGCGCATGTGCCCTGACCAGGAATCGAACCGTGGTTCACAGGCCGGGGCTCAACCACTGAGCCATGCTGGCTGGGCTCTTTGGTGGTTTCCTAAGGAGGTGGCCACGGGTTTTGGAAAGGGCACGTAGCCAGGAGTCAGAGGCCCCAGGTCCGAGGGTGACACTGTCTCTGATGAGCTGTGTCACCTGTCCGCCCTCTCCGAGCCTTCTCTGAGAATTGGAGCTGTAGCACCTCAGACATCTGGGGGAGTGGCAGTGGCGTGGTGTCTGTGGGACTCGGTCAAGGGCTGGACGAGGTGGGTGGCGGGTTGGAATCGGGTGGCATTGAAGAGTGTTAGAGGCCTGCCCTCTGATTGCTGGGTTTCGTTCAAGAGCCTCTGCGATGCAGCCAAGTGAAGTGAAACCAGCGGGCCCCTCAGAATGCAGCAGACACAAGTGGTAATTACGTGGTCAGGCTGTGGCCGTGCGGTCCAGGCCCTGCTAATTTGTTCAAATGCCTTTTGTTTCTTCTTTTATTTTTTTAAGAATAAGCCTGGCCTGGCCAGCAGGGCTTAGTGGTTGAGCATCGACCTATGAACCAGGAGGTCACAGTTCGATTCCCGGTCAGGGCACATGCCCGGGTGGCGGGCTCGATCCCCAGTGTGGGGCGTGCAGGAGGCAGCCGATCCATGATTCTCTCTCATCATGGATGTTTCTGTCTCTCTCCCTCTCCCTTCCTCTCTGAAATCAATAGAAATCTATGTAAAGAAGAACTCCAAGAGGCTGTTCCATTTCTGGGCCACACGTGGTGGGTCTGGTTAGAGCCCTGAGCGCAAACTCTCCTTCATGGAGAGCAGGTGGTCGGTGTGGAGCGGCCTGGTGCGAGGGGAGAGGAAACTGCTCAGCCCACTGGGCCCACAGGGCCGTCCGGGGTCAGGCTCGGAGGGGGAGCCCACAGCCTCTCCTGCAAGCGCTCAAGTTAGTGATGGTGAATGGAGGTTCTCCCAGGAAACGAGATGCCACCACCCGGGAATGGGCCTCGGGGGCAGCCTGTTGCCTTCTTGCCAGCATCTGGCGCTGGGTGTCTGAGGTTCAGGGGCCCAGGTGCCGTGCTGGGTTGGCAGCGAGTGTGGGTGCCGTCAGCTGTGAGGCGGAGCAGACACCCCTGGGCGCTGACCTTGCCAGAAGCGGCAGCAGCTGTGGCCCGAGGATGCGAGGGTGGGAGCTGCTTCCTGGGGCAGGAGGAGGCCGCTGAGTACACGCGTGTCCCGGGAGTGAGTACGTGCGTGTCTCTGTCACAGGAAGCCCACAGAACTGGTTCAGAGGGACCGGCTGTATTGGGGTGTTTTGTTTTTTTTTAATGATTTCAGAGAGGAAGGGAGAGGGAGAGAGAGAGAGAAACATCAATGATGAGAGAGAATCATGGATCGGCTTTAAATATTTTTTAATTGATTTCAGAGATAGGAAAGGAGAGAGAGAGATAGAACATCAATGATGAGAGAGAATCATCAATTGGCTGCTTCTTGCACGCCCCCTACCAGGGATTGAGCCTATAACCCGGGCATGTACCCTTACGAGGAATCGAACCGTGACCTCCTGGCTCCTAGGTCGATGCTCAACCGCTGAGCCACACCGGCCGGGCAGGTTGTCCGACTGAAGCAGTGAATGTGAGATCCTCCGAGGGCTCCAGCCAGCGGAGCTGCATGTCATTCTCACAGTCCCGTCACGTTGCATCTTCAACCAGCACGTTTGCTGTGACCCCGGTCTCGACAAGATGGCTTGCCTCGCGGGATACACTCAGACACATTAGACTCAGACAGTTGCTGGCTCGAGGCCGCAGAGTTAACAATCACATTTATTTCTAACCCTGCAGCTGAGTATTTATTGATGTCTATCTCGCATGCTAATTGGGAGCCTGAGTAGATGACATATTCATTTGTTAGAGAGCTTCCTTGAAGCCACCCTGCAGCCTTGTCTATTGTCTCTGAGTGTCCCCCCCGGCAAGAAAACTGAAAACCCGTGGGGGAAGCCAGAACCCTGACCTCCTGGTTCATAGTTCAGCGCTCAACCACTGAGCCTCGCCAGCCAGGCATCTTCCCATTGTTTAAAGGAGTTTCTCATACATACGGAGCAGAACTAAGGCTGACCAGGTTTGCTGACATATTATAATTAGTAGTGTTTTTATGATGTCTCAGTCGCAGAAATAAAGAAGGAAATAATTCGGTTTATAAGAGTAGTTGCTGTAAAAGTGTCACATTGTAATGAAATTAATTTAGATTTAAAAATAAAGCCCTTCTTCGGCCCTGGCCCATGTGGCTCAGTTGGTGGGACTGGGAAATGGG